GTCACAATGAGACAAGTAATCATCACGTAAAAATTCGGCATCCAAGCCAATGTTTAGGAAGAAACGATTGTCCACAGCAAGCAGCACTTGACGCATTCGAACACAAGACACGAGCCACAAATGCTAGCCTTATGTATGCGGGCTCGCACATGAACAAAGAATATCTTCATAATGGTACAGCTGCCCAAGTTGTCTGCTTCGCGAGTTAACTGGATACCAACAGTGCTCCTACCGAAAGTGAGATCAGGAATTGTGCGTAAGATGAATTTCAAATATTTTTGTCAAGCATCTTCATATTCCCATAAGATTTCAGCTTCCCAATCCAGCTAGCTCTTGAAATCGTTTAACTCCCATTAACGATTTAACATGTAAGAGCTTACGCATGATACAGGTGTACGCGAATAATCACTTAACCTGCATAGAATCAAACACATACAGCAAATATTCTTGTAAAATTAGAGGAAAGTAGTCATTTTAGTTCCCGAGTTGCTATGTTGCTAGCTGTTGCGAAGTCGCAACTTCAACATGTTCATACACTAGAGCTGAATTTCAAATTTCCAGCACACATAAACTCACAGAATATGTTTACGAAGTTTTATTGCATAAATTTTTTAAGGAGTCCGTAAGTGAGACCGAGGAGCAGGGGATCAATGACTTTAGAAATGGAAGTTGCTCTGGAAATTTCAGCTGCCTGGCTACACTGGTTGCCAAGCTGAAAGTGGGTGAAAAAATAAGAACACACACATACGCACACAGACAACCTCTTTTCAATATGCATTTTTGCTTTTACATAAGTATGCAAAAATGCATGAAAACTATTTGCAATATTATCGTTTTTTTTTTTTTTTTTCGTTGCATTATCTATGCGCATGAGGAAAACGCAAAATAAAGAAGGATGGCGAAACTGCCAGCAGCATCAGTGGCGAGATGAAACACGACAATAAAGCAACAGCTGATCAACTTCTGACCACAGGAAGTTGTGTAAGAAAAGCGCTGTTCAAAGTATCACTTTATTCCCCATTATTATTTATTAGCCGAAATATGAACGCCATCATGTACTATGCTATCACATTCAAAAATCAAAAAAAAAAAATTCTGGCCACATTAGCGAAATCACAAGAGGCTGGAAGTATCTGCAGTTTGCACTGAAAGCGATCATGGGAAGGAAGCATTGTGGTTAACACAATGTCTAAAGCACAATCAGCATCGATGCGGCTTTAAAAAGTGTCGTACCAGTGTAATACCCGCAACTGCGCAAATTTACTGCTTGTAGATAAATGCGACAGCACTATTTATGGTGTGTTCAGCTGTTCTGCGATTGCAGCTCTTCATCCCAGTCGTAGGGCTCTTCCATTCTTATACCCCAGTTCTTCATAGCCAGCTGCAACAGCTGCTTCAAAAATGTGTGATCCGGCTGGCTCTGATATGTTAATGAGTCGATGTAGTTCAAAATCCGTCTGAATTCAACCTGAAATATATTTTCCTGCATAGGCCATTTTAAGGAGATTTCATGACGTTGCTGTTAATTATCAGTCAATGTAATCTAAGCGGTAGAATACATATAATGTTGGCCCAAACAGTCCATGCATCGCGCAAATATAAACTTTTTCTGAAACACTGATAAGCGGCACACTGTTCAAGACGTAAGCACGAGGATCTGTGGAATTGATGCTCCGGTAAAATCTTTGAGGTGGGGCAGAGGAAGGCACACAGTGCTGAATAATTCACCTTAGGGCAGTCTTTGATGAATGTTTTGAGTGATTCCGGTGTTCGGCAGTCCTCTTTTCGTCGTTGCACCTCATTTCGATCTGTGCGATGCAGGTGACTCCACGGCAGTTCTCCTGCAAAAGAACCGAAATGTGCAAAGGATGCAAAGCTAACTTTGGCAAGTGTGCGATGTGGCCAAAAATCCCGGCATTAGTTTTCCGGGTAGAGTTTATTACAAAGCTAGCGCTATAATCATTACAAAAGTGATTCCCACCTGAAATCATTTCAACAAGCATGTAGAACCAGGATTCAAGATCATCCTTAGGCGACAGCTCCTCTTCCCGATGTGCTGCGAGTGACGCATAACGTGTTGTTCCGCTGCAATGTGTTTTAAAGTCTGTGAGTTCAGGACTAGTTGGACTAATAGGATTTGTTCAGTGAAATTACGATAGTTTAAAAATGTTGCAACGAAGCAACAACGACTGCGTTGTCGGAACTTGATATCGCTGGTACTTTCCTCCTAAAGTTTACATGTCCTCTTTCGCATCGACAGCCGCACTTTCGAGATGTGCTGGCAGTGAAAGCACCAGGTCAGAAACGTTAAGTGCCAGTTCTTTATACGTTCTCGCACATTATGCAAATACAAAAACGCATATTGGCAAGAGGCTGACTCTGTGTGTGCCTGATGTGTTTACACTTTGTATTACCCATCTTCATTTCGAGGACAGGAAAAGCTAGAAGTGAAGTTTCGGAAGTATGTACCTACTCAATGTGCCTTCAAGTTTCTATATCATCACATGCCTGGGTGCCGTGTACGAGCGCCTTAAAAAAATGTGCAGATTTGTTGGCGAGAAAGCGCTCTCAGGAACCGGATAAGATAGAGAGCTGAAACATTGCAGGGATATTCCCCGTGCATGTATAAATTGAAGATTTCAAATTCAGCTATCGCGCACACTTGCACTGCGCATACGGTCACGCCAAAGTTCGTAGTTAGCACTGCCAACTCGAAAACTAGCTGGTAAACAGCAACATCAATTTTGTTGAAATATTTATCGCACATCTGGGGAATCGCATACCTAATGGAGTTTCGAACTGCGCTTGCGCCGAGCCTTAGGATGCGACAAATATGTCTGTAGCGAAGAGGCGATTTCATTTACTGGGCAAGCTTCAAAGCTGAAATTCTGCAGAGATATTCCATGCTCACGAATGGTCTTAATTCAACTTGAAGGCAAAATGCCCTGCACTCGGTCCTGACAAATATTTAATTTTATAATAAACTCAAAAGCGAGTGCACTTGTGGATTTCTAATTCTCTTTTGGCATCCTATGCATCACAAAATTTGCATTTTTTGATGAACCATTAAAAACCGGGAAAAACGACCAAGTTTCATGCAAAATTGAAAAACATGTAAGTTGAAGAGGCTCATGTCACCCAGCGATGTAACACTACCATCCCGGCCGACGCCCTTTTACCTCCATGTGCAAGAAATGACCAAAACACAGCCAATAAGAATCGACATGTTAAACCACTGGGCAGGAACCATACCTGCTTTTAACGATCTGACTGCTGTAAGTTCAGCACAAAAACGCATGATCGCACCAGCAAGCCTGGTGCGTTGCAGCCTAAGTTCATAATGAATAAAGGCCTTTCTTGGTCGTAGTTGGCAGAAGTTCTGAGTGTGATATGTTTTGAGCGAGCCCTATGTAACTATATTTGGTAATTACATGTCAGTGCTTCGAAATCGTGAAAGGACGAACCGGAACGGGGTTTTATTTCTCGGTGGTTTGATGCCATTCTTGGGACTTCGATACACTCGACAGAGACCGAAATCAATAATGTACACAGTCATTCTTGGCTGATTCGATTCGCTTATTGCATAATTTGATGCCTGCGCATTCGAACATTCAGTGAATTATGCATCCATGGAATTCTCTTTAAGCTTGAAAAGGCGCGCATCGGTTGAAATCACTCAAAAGACTCTTCGCAACACATTTGGTAAAAATTCATAAAACTACACAGCTTATGCGGTTGCAAAGTTCAACTTAACTGATAAGACCTTAACATCTCTGTGCACGTATCCCATTGCATGCAATTCTTCCAGAGCAGCCAGCGTTTGAATCCCGAGTCGCAGAGCTGTGGACAACGAAAAATGACATTCAACAAATGACTGGCGCAATTTCTGCAGATTATCACCCAACTAAAAAGTAACAGCATGTAACGTAAATTCGTAAAATTGTCTAATGCTGAAGGTGTAAGTAATAGTGGAGCATGATGAGGTCCGCATTCCTGTGCTTTTCTCGCAGCGTTAAAAACTGAATATTTATCCTCACCAACATTCCTAATAGCATAGAGGGCTACATACTGAAATCACAAATGGTCTTGCTGTTAAAATACTAACCATTTTCATGACGATGAATTTAAAGTGTCCCTCGATTTTTCCCCGATCAACAAGTTTGGCGATGTGCTCACAGTTGGCCTTCGATGCCTGAGACAAGACACTGTAATCCATGTTGAGTCCATGAAAGTGAACATCACATACTTCCAGCTTCGCCGCAAAACGTTTCCCGTCAGAACGTCGTAATACCTGCGCGATATGTGCACTGATATTTTAAAGTTCATTTGGACGAAGTTTACATAAAAATCGCGCAACTTCACTTTTTGCTTTGTCTAAAATATTTTTTGTCGGTACAGAGACGTAATTTATAGATGATGGAATTAACAAACAGTACTAAACCTCATAAACAGCACCAAATCGTCCGCGGTATATACGTCTGCCAATTGCGAATTCGAAATTTTTGCCTTTAATGAGGACGTTTTTTTCGGGTAACCGACTTTCAACATCGCTTTGATCGTCGTCACAGCTCCCTTCCCGAGAATCAACATCCACTGAATTCATCACTGCAATTTAACAGTAGCAAAACCATTCATGATAGGATTGCGTTAAGATCGCATCGAGTTTCATTTGCGGCAATAATAATGAAAGAACAAGCCGCATCTCAAAATCACAAATCAGGTTCCTCTGGATTTTAAACTGACTTATTTTTGAGGTAACCGCGAACGGAACTGATACAAAGCCGGTAAAAATTACTTGACCGCTTGAATGTTAGGAATATTAGGTTGTCTTACTGAACTAAAGTCTCAAATATTACTGCTCACATGCAAAAAACGAAGTGCTGCAATCAGCATTTGCTTTCTGCAGCTGTTTTCCCCTGCACTAACTACATCTTAAAAGCTCATCTAAAAAGATAGTTATTATGCGTTTTTGCTTATATGTAAATTGCAAAAACGCGTATTGCGACGACCTTGTGTGTGTTTGTGTATGTGTGTGTTCTTCTGTCCGGGTATTTTAACTCGGCAACCAAGCAAGCTCCAGCGCCAAAGCTTTCCTATTGGGCTCCCTGGCCAAGTGCCGCTCCAGGACCGCGATACCAACCCTCATGCAAGTCTAGGCCCGCGTACGAAAGGGTAAAGGTTTTTGGCGAAAAAACTGCTAACTCGGGATAAAATTTGAGTGCCCGTATATGAGAACCACGCGTACACGGAGGCTGAATATGAAACCTCTAAGTTGTATTTAAAAGGCAAATATTCTCCTAAAATTTCAGCTTTCCAGCCGAGTTGGCAATTTTCCTGCTAAGACTTTCACAGGGCCACACGTGACCTGGGAGCATATCTACGGTTGGATTTGGAATCTTTAAATTGTATGTAGGCTGGAAACATCCCTTTAGAATTTCGGTCTCCCAGCTTTGCTAGTTCTCGAATTAATCATTTTCCCGCTAAAAACTTCACAAGGCGTACATGAGAACCATGTATAACTGGGGGCTGAATTTGATAAGTTGATGTAATTGTGCTGGGAACATTCCTTGTAAATTTCAGTGTTTCAGCTTTCCGAGTTCTCATATTAGCCGTACGTGAGAACACGCATGCCTGGGAGCTGAATTTGATAACTTTAAGTCAAACATGGACTGGGAACATCCACTGATAATTTCAGCCTCAAAGCTTTGCTAGTTCCCGAGTTAGCCATTTTCCCGTTGAAAAATTTCACGGGCCGCACATGAGAACCGCTCATGT